GGAAGAAGGCGAAGGCGTGGACCGACTTCCCGGAGGCCGACTTCGGCTACGCGCCCACTCAGGAGGTCCACTGCGCCGTTAGCTTCAAGGAGGCGGCCCGCGGGTGCGATAAGCAGGTGGAGGTACTGGTCCAGGAGGACTGTCCCAAGTGTAACGGCAATCGGTATTTGGGTTTTTTTTGAGATATTACTGTGTTTTTGGTGTTTTTTTGTTTAACATCCCTTTCCCCTGCGCTCCCATAGTGTAGAGCCGGGTCGGGCGGGCCAGACGTGTCCGTTCTGCGACGGAGTGGGACTCGAGGTGATCCGAGACCAGGCCATACCCATCAGGACCACGTGTCGCGTGTGCAAGGGCTCCGGTGTCTACATATACTACAAGTGCACGAATTGCTTCGGTATGGGACAGGTGTTGGGCAAACGGCGGCTCATAGTGCCGGTGCCGGCGGCCGTGGAGGACATGCAAACCATGCGAGTGGACGTCGAGGGCCAGGAGCTGTTCATCACGTTTCACGTGACGAGCAGTACGTACTTCCGGCGCGAGGGCTGGGATGTGCACACGGATGCCGTCGTATCACTATCTCAAGCGGTGCTCGGAGGCACCGCTAAAGTGGAAGGTATGGTAGGCTAAGGGGAACGGGAGGTGTGCTATTATATGTAAATTGGTAGGCGTGTTGAGCGCCGGTAGTTGATTGGGATGTCTAATGGTTTGTGTGTTTTTGATTCAATGTTTTAATTATTTGTTTTGTTTTTTATGTGTCGGTTTAGGTCTGTATAGCGATGAGCACCTGGAGCTCAAAGCGGGCACTGACTCGCACTCGACTATCAAGTTAGAGGGAAAGGGTCTGAAACGGATAGACGGTTACGGTTACGGCGATCACATCATTCACATTAAGATTGAAATACCGAAGTATTTATCAGTTTTTTGGTTTTGTTTTAATTAATTTGATTTTTAATTTCGTTTTTAGAGAGAGAGAGAGAGAGAGAGCTATACTGTATAATAGTTATAGTAATTAATGTTTTAAACATTACTTTTTAAAGACTAATAATTGTTTACTAAAAAAACACAAATCCATTGATATCTCCAGAAAACTGTCGCCAAAACAGACATCACTAATGAAGTCATTCGCAGAACTGGAAGACAATACTCGCGGAACCGTTGATGGAGTCGTCAAACGAAAGAGTATTTCCCATGAAATCTGTGTTTGTTTTGTATTGAAAACTAATTTATGTTTTTTTTTGGTGTTTGTCTCGTATATAGAGTGGACGGACGACGAGGCGTCAGACTACTCGGCCAAAGAGAGTCCATATAATGACGGCACGAGTGGCCAGTCGTCGCCCGCTATCGTCAGACTCGCGAAGAATGTGTTTAAAAGACTTTTTCTGAGAAATTCTTAGCGTTTAATACATTTTGTGATTATTTTTTTAGGTATTAATTGATTGGTTTAGGGTTAGATTTTTTAATTAATTAAATAAATTAATGAATTAATTATTACCTAGGTATGTGTGTATTGAAATTAAATTGTATTTCGAGTTATCAAGGTTTATATTACCGTAATATAATTTAATTGTAGATTAAAATGTTTTTATAAATTATAAGTTTATTAAAGTTTATAATAAAAGTAATTTTATTAATGCTTACTTTGTTTAAAGATTATTATTATTATTTATTGGTTATTAGTAGATTAATTTCAGATTTTATTATAAAATAAACACCTTGGTTATATAATTTTAAAAATAATTTTAAGACACGTTTTAATGAAAACTTTTTTATTTTAATTATAATCCAAAAACTCTATGAACAGTATCTATAACTATATTATACAATAAGTTTTGTTTAATTTAAAATTGTTTTAAAATTGACAAGACAATTTTTATCCATTTGTTCTCAATGTTGTTGTGTTTATATATATATTTATTTATCCAGCCACTATAACAAACATGTGCCTGATAATTAATTATTTATATTAATACTCTATTATTTATTGATGTTTTTTTTGTTTATA